ATTGGCTGTTTATTACAAACAGAAGGTTTGAACAGCTGGTTAGGAAAGGGGAGAGTCCTTGTAAATATTTCATGTGTTGGACTTTGAAAGATTGAACAATTTGAATGAGGGGTAAGATAATGAGTAGTAGTTGGTGTGACTGAGCTGAATAAGGTCGAGCTGTTCTTGTTTACTCATTAGATACTTATGAAGTGACACTCTGTTTTATGTGTCACAGTTTCCAGAGATGAATGAGGTGAGTCGTGAGGAAGAGGATGCAGGCGGCAGCAGCTTCCTCCTCACCTTTGGCATCCAGAACGCCGGCCTGCTGACGGGCTTCTCCATCATGCTCCTCCTGACGACGTACTCTGGACAGATACAGCTGGGCTAGCAGCAGACTCCTCCAGGATCACCATCAGCTGCTGTTGGAGCCCAAACAAAGAGAGGCTGGCTCAAAGTTTCTCCTCTATTTTTTCCTCCTGTTCTCATTTTTCGGGTTCTGGACTTTGGGGATTTTGGTTGTGCGGCAGGTACGTGCAATCGTCTTTTGAAGTTATACGAGAAGCTGCTTTAGTGCAGTTCCTGCATGCAGAGGGTTCAAGGTCGAGGGTTTGACGGCCCTGTCTCCTCAGCGTTTCAATCCTTTCTGCACAGCAGCCCTGAAAACGTCCTGAAACATCAACTGAAGCAGTCGCAAAAGACGGCTATACTTGATGTGCAATACTCACCCAGTCTCTCAGATGTTCCCCTTTTCGTCAGACTGCTCTCCAGGCATCTTTCCTCAACCTTCATCCTCATCATCCATCCTGGTTGATGCCATTGAGCCTCCACTCAGGCCAGTTGAGATTCCTAGCGAGTGTTTATATCATGAATCCTCTGTGAAAAGCACAATCAGGTAACAGCAGCTGTACTCCAAACATCTCTGATTCCCAGGCACTACACGTCCCCTTTTCTTTTCTCCATTCCATACCAAAAAGCAAATGTTAAAACATTTAAACTGGAATTATTCCGACTTCCAGCTGGACTTTGTTGTCTGTGAGTTGATTTTATATTTTTTTACACATGAATACTGACTTTTAAAGACCAAATATGGGCAGACCATTGAGAATGGTGAAGGGCTACGCAGTGATGTTTGGAAGCGCACGTGTCAGCCAGCCAGCCGGTAACTCCCAAAGACTCCGGGGTCAGACACGGAAAAGGGACTAAGTGGCTTCATCCAGATCACGGCGGCAGCATTTCTCTGTAGTTTACCATCTGTGCCCTTCATTAGAATAGCAAGTGAGAAGTTTTAGCTTTTTTATTCCTTCTGATCTTGAATTCCGAGTGCAGATCTGCAGTTTTCACATATCCCATAGACTATTTTTCCCAGATTACCTATTCTTTTACGGTGTCATTGTAACAGAATACTGTAAGGTGGATCATACTGTATAATCACGCACACGTCACCTCGCCTGTGACCTTATCCGTGTTAGCGGTTCAGAATTAAGAACTATGGCCAAAAGTATGTGGACAGACTCGATGCCTCTTTTTGTCACCGGGCAGTTTTTAAAGGGGTTTTTGGCCATTTTAACGATGGAAACAGTCTGCACTGCATTTTTAACCCAATCCCACTAAGGGGAATCAAATGACATGATTACGATATTTTTAACTCAGAAAGAAAATGCAGATGCTGAAATGAAAGTTTCTTTCTTATCATGTTAGTTGGTCAAAAATCAAAGATCAGCTGAAACTGAAACAAGGATGGACTTTCTTTTCTTTTTTTACTTTGTGTTTCTTTTCTCATTTTTAGGTTTTTCATTAAGAACTTGTCCTTATTTTCTCTTTAATGTGGCTCAAGTTTCCTAAAACCCTGTGAGCCAAAAGCTCTTAAACACTTTTTTTTACTTAAAGGGAGCTAAAACAGTTTATTTACCTTTATCTTAATGAAATATTAGTTAATTTGATCTGTGAACCTTGCACAGCAACTCTAGAGCTCAAGACTTAAACTGCATTTGGACATCAGCCCAACAGATCTTCTTTAAATGCTGAGAATTACTCATTTTACCCATTTAGTAGCATTTTGCAGACGAATAGTAAAGCTACTGCCAGCGCTGTGCAGAGGAGCTGTGTTGGCGATGGATCTCGTGTGTGCAAATGTCCATCCAGTTTGATGGACACAACTACAAAACTAGAAGAGCAGAGGCTGTTGTTAGGGGCATTGGGTTTGGGTGTCCACATACATTTGGCCACGATGCTGTAAAAAAAAAAGGTTTATGATGTAAAGGGTTAATAGTTTATTGGATGGTCGGGGGGGCAGCTGTTGTGCTCTACAGCAGTGTAAGATTGTTGGGTTGCTTTCTGTGTTTGTCTTACAGGTGGATTAAAAAGATTTCCCCTCATCTGAACACTGACACTTCAACAGAGCTGACGTGATCCATTATGTAGCACCTTTACATACTTTTCCTAATGTGAGTGTAGATTCGAGCTGTAGAATATTATTTATTAGAGCTCGAAGCTGAAACCCGTGATGGGTTTACAATAAAGATGAAATTGTAGTTCCAGGAAGGAGAAGGCAAGCCATTACAAAGAGTACCCTGAGTGGTACAGCGAGTATTACTGCTGCTTGATACGTCATGTAACAGATTATTTATTGTTGCTTAAGCCATAAAATATTTATTTTATGCTTTACATCTAAGATCAAGTGTTGTGCTTAGTTTCACACCATGAGTCCAGATGGAGTTTAGTTTTTATTTAGAATAAACGGGTCAGATACAAGCTAAACCGTCTCTGCTCTGCACACTGTTAATGCTGTGTTTAAAACTGAAGCCAGTGGATTTACAGCACACACAGACTGATAACATATCCACTCGGTCAATGCAGATAATACATTCAGAGACCAGGAGAGGTTCTTTGGAGCAGAAACAGGAACATTACAGACCAAAAACCAGACGCAGAACACAGAGAAGAACACTTTATCGGGCAGTTTATAAACGCAGCAGAAAGATTAAGGTGAGGAGGTTGTATTGGGGGTCAGATTGCTCATGGGAGCAGGAGGCTGGGATTTCTAATAAAACTAAGGAAGCCAAAATAGGAGAGATAAATGATGAGAATTCGGCTAATTGTAAATGTGTGTTGGGGCTCGGTCAGGGGCTGTAAGCAGGAAAAAGCAGGGAGTTATAGAATTTAATAACAAAAAATACTGATATGTTCAAATTAGAGCTGCAGCATAGTGATGGAGAAGACAAGAAAGCAAGAGGGAGGACAGAAGAGACAAATCTATGAGGAGCTGACCCTCGAACCAACCAACCGACTGACGGAGGATGGGCTTTCTGGCCATTTTAATATTTACAACTTGTAAAGGATCATTTTGAAAAGTATTGTATCTAATTTCATGTATGAGAATCCTCGTTAGCCTTCTGTGTGTGTCATGGAGATTGTTTTTATATATAAATTTCATTTTCCAAGAAATTGTATTTGTTGAAGTGTCATCATTGATTGATACTGTGCTTGATTTTTGGTTTATTTTTCACCCGTTTAATTAGAAGTGACCAGACAGAGTCATTTATATGAATAAATATAGTATCTATCTTTTTTTTTTATATTTTAATTCTGACTTTTCCCACCGCTGCTGAAGCCTTGAGGCTGATACTAAAAGCCCAACGTGATGATGAAAACAGCTCACTGGATGTAGCTTCAGTTTCTTTTTGTGTAAAAATGATTAAAAGCCATAATTAGTTTGTCATAGATAAAGCAAACAGTAAAGCTATGATAAACACAAATGGAGCCTTTAAAAAAGTATTTGTGTATACAATAGTGAGCCAGCTTGATTGCTTCAGTATTAATCAATGTTATGAAATGCTCTTTGTCCTCAGATTACCGAGCTTCCCACCTTTAAGAGGTTATGTTACTTGGAAGAATATGTTTATTAGAGGTCCTTCATTCTTGGAGAAATGTACTATTCAGCAAATATCATGAAAGCATTAAGATGACAAATACTGTAGCAGACAGGATCCAGGCTACTCGAGTGGATGTTCAAACAGTTCTCTAATAACAAAGAAAGCATTCAAATTTTATCGTTCTTGAGGAAAAGAAGGTCTCCTTTGACCGGGAAACCACAATGAAGCTGATTATGCTTTGCACATTAGTTTTTCACTCCTGCAAAGACACATTTCTTAGAACCTCCTTTTTTTCACAAACATCTAAATACAAAATGCACAAAAGCTCCTTCCATACAAACTCACCAACATATCAAAACAGTCTGATTTGTGTACGTGTGTGTTTTCAGATCACACACACAATAAAGGTAAGAACACTGCTGAGCACTCATTACAAAAGTCTGAGAGCCTATCCCAGCTGCCATAGGGACTGTTTCCTTTGGGCTTTGATGCCCACCAGGCAGTAGTGCAAACAGACAAGTCCCCTAACTGGAGTACCTGTTTATATCTCAATAAATGTGCAGCATGAACCCAGTACACTGCCAATGCAATAAAAGCATACCTGAAAATATCAGTTATGGACTGGCCTCACAAGAGCCTGGACTGTTGAAACGTAGCGGCATCATCTTGGCAGAGAACAGGACAAGAGACAGCCAACATCCAGTAAAGAGTGTTTAGTGTCCTTCAACAAGCCTGGAGAGTTATTCCTCAAGACACCTTACAAAAATGAGAAGAAAATTCCCAAAGAGTTCAGATTGTGTTCAAGATTGAAAGTAGTCATACCAATCACTGACTTTAAAACTCATTAGTGATTTTGCCTTATATACTGTATTTAATCTTTTTGTGGAAAATGTAAAGAAATTAGGCATTGCTCTTTGGTGCCCACCAGGGGGCGATGTAAACAGCCAACCCTCATTGCACGTCACATGCGTCACGCTGAAGGAAAACAATCTGCGTCACTTCCTGTCTGACACAGATGCTTAGAAAACGTTTGGTAGCAGGAACTGTGGGAAGCTGCTGTGGTGACTCTGATGTGATGGCTGTGAGCCGTTGGGGACAGTGATTCTGAGAGGTGAGCGGGGTCATGTCGCCTGTTTCCTGTTCGGTAGTTCGATGCTGGTGTTCCGGTCCCGGGGGGACGGGTTTGAAGGCACCGGCTGGTTTGACACGTTGTGTTAACGCGGCCATTCATTGCCGCGCTGCTAAACTCTGTGAATAAGTGACAGCTAACAGGTAACTTTAGCTGAGCACGCAGTTAGTTATCAGTCTGAGCTTAGCTAATTACCTGCAGGCTGCTAGCCGTGAACAGGTTAACAGGTTGGAGGTTTTACTAGCTAACTTTACCTTAGCTTCCTAACTAACCGGAGTGGGTTTTTATATGTGTTTCGTTTCTATTTTCAGCTTTCTGAGTAAACCCTTCACGTTAGCTTGCTACAGACTGACTGTGCGTGGCTTAGTTTTTATCATCAGTTTGTTTTGCGAGCATAGAAAGTTTAGAGAGTTTTTCTTTAATACTTTTGGATCTATAGCTTTCAACTTAAGGAATCCATCAGAGGCCTGTACCACGAAGCAGGATTTGGGGCTGAGCGAGGTAACTTCAGGGTTAACCCAGCGTGTCACTGTTATCAAGGTGTGGTACATCGCCATGGTAACTCATGCAGCAGACCTAACCTGCTCAGGTGGAGGTCACGTGCATGATGAGATATGTCAGACCTCTGTACGCGGGTTGTAAGAAGCTCTGATGTTTTTATCTTTCCCTCGTGACCACCTTTAAGAAGTAAAGCAGTCAAGCAAACCAGTTAGTGCACATTAGATTATATAAATCTAAATATAAAAGAACCTGAGATGTGAGAAAATGTGCCTATATATGTATAATAGGAAAAGAAAAACTATACAGGATCTTTGAAATAAATATATTTCACAGCAGTGTAGCAACAGAATAACAGTGTACATTCACCATTCCAGAAATATTACACTGACCTAAATATAGAGTCCCTACCAGTCCAGTTTCAGAATGTGCTTTATACATGTATGGAGAGACGGGAGGGGGGAAGTAGCTGGGGACTGATGCTGCAGGGTTATCGAGGGTTCAAGAGTCTGATGGCTTTGAGAATGAAACTGTTGCAGAATCTGGCTGTCCTGGTCCTGATGCTCCAAAACCTCTTCTCAGAGAGCAGCGGGGAGAACACTGCGTGGTCAAGCTGGGCGGAGTCTCTGATGATGTTATGGGCTCTACTGAGATGTGTTTGTGTGTGATGTCCTAAATGGGTGGATGGTAAGGGAAAGGTGTGCTCTCCTTAACCAGCACATGAAGTGCAGGTGCTGCTGAGCCCGTTCAACCAGTGTTAATGTGTTCAGTGACCAGTCCGGACGATCATTTATCTGTACTGCAGGGAATTTGGGGGCGATCGTGGCTCAAGAGTTGGGAGTTCGCCTTGTAATCGGAAGGTTGCCGGTTCGAGCCCCGGCTCGGACAGTCTCGGTCGTTGTGTCCTTGGGCAAGACACTTCACCCGTTGCCTATTGGTGGTGGTCAGAGGGCCCGGTGGCGCCAGTGTCCGGCAGCCTCGCCTCTGTCAGTGCGCCCCAGGGTGGCTGTGGCTACAATGTAGCTGCCATCACCAGTGTGTGAATGGGTGGATGTTCAAGGTTCTTTATTTGTCACATGCATAGTTATACAAGTATAACACACAGTGAAATGTAGCCGGGATGACTGGATATGTAAAGCTCTTTGGGGTCCTTAGGGACTAGTAAAGCGCTATATGAATACAGGCCATTTACTGCAGGGAATTTGATGATGCTGACTATCTCCACAGCACTGCTGTTAATGATGAGTGGTGGATGACTGTGCTGTTTTCTCCTGAAGTCAACGATCACTCCTGATCGTTGACAGTAATGAGACCCACCACAATGTGTCAGCAGTGCAAACCACAGTGGACTTGGGACAGAATAAGAATTTCTTTGCATGTTTGTGATTGTCCATTGCTGTGAATACTTGTGCTTTTATTTGAACAGGCTTGTAGCTAGATTAATAAACTCTGGGTAAACTTATCAAGTTGATTTTCACCTTCACAAAACAGCCTGAACCTGATAACTGGAGCAGATTTAGGCAGTTGTTTTAAATTAGAGCTGCACACAAAGAGAGGATCATGCTATTGGACCCATCTTTACACAGTAACCTTAATTGGCGGCCTCCCTGCAGATATGAGGCCCTTTATTGTCTGTGTTACTGCTTTTCAAACAAGCGCAGTGGCTGTTACTCAGTGTTTTGAGTTTTGAAGTGACCTCTGCCCTTTTATTTTGTTTGCTCATCTATTCAGGTTGTTCTTGTGATGTTAGTCTTATAATTAGTCTGTGTGTTAAACCACTGTATGCTCAAAAGATGGACAGTTTTAAGTTGAAACTCCGAGTTGCTGACATGGTTGATATTTGGGACCAGAAAACAAGTTTCAGCAACAAAACATCCATAAGGGATGTCAACGAGAAAATAACGGAGGATCACGTCATGGTATAAAGATCAAACAAGATCAAACAGATAGTTCGGGACGACGTGTCGGATCCCTATTTAGAATACAAATTCAGTGCACATTTAAAGAGCCTGTATGTAAATGTTTTATTGTGAAAATTTAGTCCGTGCTTTCCAGGTGGCCTGTTTGTTTCCCGTCTTGTGGCTGCTAACAGCTGTGTCAGCTACCACTCAGATGAGTCTGATGGACGCCCACTCTGCTGTCTTTGAGTGCATTAGGTGATGATAGTCCTTACAGGAAGTGGTCAATGCGTTGATCAAGGACTGCCGTCACGGGCTGAAGTCCAGGAGTTTTGCCTTAAAAGTACTACTACTAATAATAATGTAGCTACCTCCAGTAAAATGTACTTTTTTTTTTTGTACACTCCATCAGAAGAACCCAGAGAAGGAGCAGCCATGGCCTGTGCTCGAGTGCCACTGGATGAGCAGCAAGTGACCGAGCCTGGCCCTCTGGGAAAGGAGCGCACGCTGCCTGCACTGGTGAGTCGGCACTGATGGTTTTATGCTAATGTTCACTCAGACAGCTGCTCACCTCTCATACTGACCAGGATCCCAACCTGTGCTTTCTGCCATCCATCAGCACCCACACAGGACAGAGGAGCGCTGTTTCGTGCCTTACAAGCCCCCTCCAGAAGACAGCTCTCCAGCTGACGTGGAGGAGTTTTTAGAACATGCCAGATTCATCACAGAGGACCTGGAGTGGCTGCTTGCATTGCCTCATGACAAGTTCTGGTGTCAGGTACAGTCGTGTCAACGTGTTATGTAGAGAAAACTCAACGGCTCGCGCTCTGCAGGACTGCCTGTGTTTTATTTTGTGCAACACAAAGACTAATGCTTCAAACACACCTGCTCTTTAGCAGACAGTAATGTCACATGATCCTGGCCTATGGATGCAGTGTTCATAGACCAGTATTACACTGATCTGTTTCTGTTATCAGAAACATGTTAACAGTTTGTGTTGTACCAAGATGCAAACTGTCAAAAAAACACAAGAAAATTGTGAACAGATAAAAATAATAAAGATTAAAACAATCAAATAAATGAATACATAAATAATGTAAATACAATTAAAAAGATAAATATAAAATAATTATATAAAAGCAAAAAACTGTAATAATAAAATTAATAAAAACTCTATAAACATTAGTACAAACATAACAGTAGACAGTAGGAAAGCTGTTGCCGTGAGAGCGCGTCTCAGTACGTCTCAGTGCCTCTTAGATAATAAAAGCAGGATTATTTTTATGGAACTGTAATAAATCCATGTACAGCATGTGTGAGTAAATAGAGAAGCCTTTAATAAGCTACCAGGTTAGTTTAAGGAAGCAGGGGAATCTCTGTTGTTCAATGAAAAAGGTGCCAAAATGGTGAATGACCGACGGCTCAGAAGCTGCACAAGAGGAAAAGACTCAGGAAGGAGTGCAGAGAGAGGCTGATGGTATCAGACATGACCTTCAGCTGCCGATGGGTCAAGAATAGTTCTTGCTGTGATAGTAAGACTTTAACATTGATGCCACATTCAGGTGCACATTTGTCATTCAGCTGCAGGCGTCCTCTGGAGCCGGGTAGCAGTTTAGATTTCTGGTGACTCACGTGTAGGAAATGGTGCTGATGCTAGAAGATGTTCTCCTCCTGATGTCGCGTGGCCTGTTTCTCCCATCAGGTGGTGTTTGATGAGTCCCTGCAGAGGTGTTTGGACTCTTACCTGCGTCACGCTCCTCGTGGCCTCGATCTCTCCACGCTACCCTCCTCCCCGGCGGTGGCTGACATGCAACGCTCCATCCACAAAGCGGTTTTCTTGACCTTCCTCCGTATGGCCACGCATAAAGAATCAAAGGTAGGAAAACTAGATCTTCAGCGGGTCTTACGGGCTGACGTTGGTGGTGACATAAAGTAGCGCAGTACGAAACCTTAACTTCCTCCACCTCCCTGCAGGAACACTTCTTTACCCCAGCCGTGTTTGGGGAGATCATCTACGAGAACTTTCTGTTTGACATTCCCAAAATTTTGGATCTTTGTGTGCTTTTTGGAAAGGGTAACGGCCAGCTGCTGCACAAGATGATAGGTGAGCTGTGTGTGAAATCTTATTTATGTTTCATGCCAGTTGTTGCACTCCGCTCACTTTCAACATGACGGCCTTTCAGAGAACATCTTTACTCAGCAGCCGTCCTACTACAACGACCTGGATGAGACGGTGGCCACAGTTTTACAGGCGAGAGCCCGCTTTTTGCATTTCACTGAAAAATATCCAAATGTCACAATTCCAAATGAAAAGCACATTGTTTCTGTCGGAGAATATTTGAATGCACTTTTAACTTTTAACACTGTGTCAACTTCAGGTATTTGACACGGTCCTGCAGAAGTGTGGTCTCCAGTGTGAAGGAGCCACCGCTGCAGAGCCAATGAAGCTGAATGCACACAAAAAACCCACTGCCATGACCATGAGCCAGCAGGTCAGTCAGACAGATGTGTAACAATATGCAGTTAAATAAATAAAATACTGAAACATCTGAGATCCATGAAGGAGACCACATCAGGTTGGCTCTCTCAGTCCATTAACTAAAAGAAAGTGACACAGCTGTGCAGGGTGAAGCTGAGTTTATCAAGTGGTCCATCTTCCTACGATCGAGCCTTCGACTGAACAGATGCAGATTTTCAAAGTCCTTATTGGCACATCGTGTTTGTGCTGAAAGGGAAATGATATCCTTCCTATTAAAACCATCTTAACTGTCGGTTCTCCGAATCGTGTGAGTCGCTGTGAATTGCGGGATGGTATTATCTCCGCCCCTTTCATAAAGGTTGGTCCAGTTTATTTGCTGCTAAATAAGGTGTGAAAGAAGGATTGAAACTCGTTTTTTTTTTCTTCTTTTTTTTGAGTACAGTGGGTCACTTCCTGTCGCTGTTTTTAAAAAAAACAAAAAACAAAACATGCTGTCATGTTCATTTGTAGCAGCTGTGGATGATAAGCAGAAGAAAAGCAGAAGAAAAAGCGATTTCATTGGGATTAAGGTTAAAAAAAGATTACAGAACCTACAAGAATCAGTTTGTTTCACTGGTTTGGTCACAGTCTCACAGTGTCGTGCAGCTCTCTTCAAATAGAGCTCAGATTCAGAACCTCACGATAACCTTCTGTTCACCCAGGATCTCTAAGGATCTCTTCCATCTAAAAGCCAGCTGTCTATGAGCCGTGCCTCACCTTTAGTGCTCCAGCCTGCTAAACATAGGTTGTTATTATAGGAACAGATTTTTGCACAGTCATTTCAAGATAAAGGCCTGTACCTCGGTGGCTTAACTACTAGGCTGACTACGGTTCTACAGAAGGTGTTCTGATTGATAATATCTTTTATAATTTCTGTCCTAGGAACTGTTAGATATAATTTTGTACCTGTGTGACTCAACCACCACCATCAATGCCTTCCTGGACATCTTCCCCGCAGCCTGCACCAGCTTCCAGTCCCACAGCTTCCTCAGCAGGTAGTTACCCTGAAAGTTTACCGTGAGTCGTACCTCCATAAAACCTTCTCACGATCTTTGTGTTTTCTCTGCTGGCAGTCTGACCTCGTTTTATGAGACCGGTGTGCCTGACCTTGAGAAGGCGATCAGAAAGAGAAACTTTGACGATAATAGGTGAGCGTCTGCTGCGTAAAGACAAAACCAAACAGGAATGTAAGTGCGAGGGGAAACGTTTACCACCTGAGCGATGACAAACTTTCTTATAGTCTTCAGGAGGACCTGTGGAAGAGGCTGTCTCACTCCTGTCGTAAGATGGTGGAGACGGTGCACCTGCTGCTGCACCACACCTGCCTACAACCAATCCTGGAGGGGTGAGACGCCCAGAGTTTTTGCATGGAGATTAGCAGGATTAGCATTACACGTTTAAACAGACACACCCATTAAAACTTCTACTGGTTTCCTCGCAGGAGAGAAAACATGCAAACATTTGCAGAGGAACTGCTGCAATATTTCACATCATTTTTACCTGAGAAAAGGTGAGATGGACGATTAGTAATTTATCTCAGTCTATAAGCCAATATTATAATAAGCACGTTTTCAAACAACAAAGAAAAAAGTTCAAACAACTTTGCAAGTAAATAATGAAATATTAAAATTAACAGAGAAACTGAATTTCATCAGTTATTCACACTGACTTATTGTTGGAGCCTTTTTTTTTTTGGAAAGTTTGAAACCTTTTCAGTGTTTTGTCGTTCAGTATACGGGTTATTCTGGTTTTTGCTTGAACTCTCTGATTGCTGCTGTAATGAGAAATATGTCATCAAAACTTAAATTTAACATCTGTTTCTTGTTCCTTCCAGATTCTTGACGGACTACGATGAGCAGTTCCCTGTTGCAGACGACATCAGCCTCCTGCAGCAGGCCGTCCCTGTCATGTATCCTCAGCGCTTCACAGCAGGACATTTCTAAAGGCTGTTATGACTAACAGTAGCCTGAAAGCACTCACGCAAACAGTTCAACAACACATGGCCACGATTTTCAAACATACAAAGAAAGCTGTTGCTACAGCAAGCATTGAAAGCCTCAGAAAACTGCTGAGCCTTCACTGTTGGCTTTCCCTGTGAGCTATGTTGGTTTTAGACGTACTCATTTTAAGTTAAAATAGTTGACCCTGTTTCAAAGTTCACTAATGCCATTAACAAAATGTAAAGAGACCACCACTGTGGTTTGCATTAAGTTTATATCTGCATTCATATGTGCAGTTATGGAAGGACTGGTATTCCAGTGGACCACACTCCAGGCAGTCACTAGAAAACACCAACTTCCAGAAATAAACCACACTCGGTTGCATTGTGTGGGTTGTGTTGCAACATCCGATTGCTGTAAAATAAAGCGTGCGGCACAATCAGAATATATGCATATTTGTGGGTGAGAGATAAAGAGGCAGAGAGGAAGTTCATTTCTCACGTCCACCGTAAAGAATACCAAATCACTGATTACTACGTTTACATAAAGGGATGTACAATTTATCCTACTATTATTAATTAGTGATAAAGTGATCGGATTTCCTCCTTTATTATATTTCCGGGCTGTTTTACGTGTTCTGGTAACAGCAGGAACATTAGATGGTAGTTTATCAGCAGATTTATGATAATGTTGGAGCATTTATCTGTTGAGCTGAGCGAGTGTGTGCTGCGTGGGCTCAGCTTAGAATAGAAATACAGTGTTTGTAATTGAAGTGAGATCCAGGAGCGCTCATTTGGCCACTTATGGTGACGCATTTTCATTTCATGAAGGACTTTTAACTTTAACTGGGGATAATGCAGTTTATATATTCAACAGTGGCATTATTGCACTATGTGATGTTTTTTAATTAAGTAATTAAAAACATATGAGAATTTGTTTCATCCCTTATTGTCTTCCATTGTAATATCGTAATATTTAAGCTTCTTAGGGTTCAGACTGTTGCTCTGATGGATGATGGGATGGATCTTAAATCTCAAAGCCAGACTTGGGTCTTAGTGTTGGATGATAAAGTGACTGTTGTTTTCCTCGGTACCTTCCTTAACCACCTTTTGCCTCAGTGATGAGACCAGGACGTCTTACTTGCTCCAGGGAGTTGAAAGTGCCTGGGACAGCGTGGGGCGACGGAAACCACAAAGCCAGACTCGGACTAGTCAGGCTCAAGCTTCTGCATCGCTATCGGCCAATCGGGAACCAGCAGCTGGTGCTGCTGCTTCCTCTTTGGCTGGCTCTAAACCTCAGGAGGTCAGAGAGCCAGCAGAAGGAGAGAGTACGAGGGGAGCAGAGGCCATGCTGGATGTCCCCCAAAGAGGAAACAATGTGAGCTCTGATTGTTACCGCTCAATGCACGATTATAGCAGCCCAGAGATTTTCCTCATTTTCTGTCCTATATATCCTGTTAAAATGGCCAAAGTTTTAAATAATTAGGTCAGCAAAGCTACTGCGATGGAGTCTAAAAACAGCCTGCCTTTGACGTGGTTTCAGGGCGCCGTGTATCCAGTGATCGGGGCGGAGCTGGAGTCTCTGCTGTCGTGTATCAGGGACCTACTTCCTGATTTGGGTGAAGGTTTCCTGCTGGAATGCCTGAAGGAATACAACTACAACTCCGAGCTGGTCATCAATAACATCCTGGAGGACCGGTTAGCTCCCAATCTGGCCAAACTGGACCGAGCCATGCCACGGTAACACACCGAGAGATTTATACATAATGCTGATATTTATCATCTGCTCTGTGATCTGACATTTATAGCAGTGTCTAACATAACATTTCTTTATCTAGATAATTTGATTATGTACTTTACTTATGGCGTAATCCATAATAATATGGGATCATATGAAATCTGTCACTGAGAGGCTGCAGTGGGCTAACAGGCTGCTCCATTTCTGCTGAGACCACAGGGTCAGTACATCTGAGCCAGCTTGGCTTGAGCCAACAGTCCAGATTGCTGCTGGTGGAATAGTGCAGAAACATATGTTTTATTATCTTCATTCGTGTTTTTAATGCTGCATATTATACTTCCCAACCTTAATAGCCACAGTTTTCCATTACCTGCACACCACAAAGCAAAAATGATGTCAAACTGCTTTGAGTTTGTGAGTTAATTTGACCTTCCCAGCCTTCACATCTAAAGGAAGTAGAATGGGATGTGGTAGAATGAATCCTGAATGTTTTAGGTGCAGACAGATGTTTCAGGGACGCCACATCTGAACACGGCTGCAGATGAAAACAGAGTCATTGTTCTGGAATAAAAATCTGCATGGTGTGCCTACAGAAGATATTTATAGCAACTTTAATAAACATCTGATGCAGAGAAAAACCTCCAAGGGCAGCAGGACGACAAATGTTTTGCTCACCTTTGTGTTACAGCACACATTTTTCCTTTTCATGTTTTTGTTGAGTCTGCAGTTTTGACGTTTGGGGCTCGTGTGCCTCAGTCTCGGTTCTCTGGGTGGTGTTTAGTGATCTTATAGTTTTAGAGTAGAAAAGTACACACGGTCTGGGTTGTGCTGATCAGTTTTAGATCACTGTAGAGTTTTATGCTATCATGTTTGTCGTGGCTCTTTTAGGCCAGTGAAAGAGGAGCTTCCGGCTGTTCTGAACAACAGATCCAACGTATTTGATGGTGACGAGTTTGACGTCTTCCGCAGAGAGCAGGTGGACATGTCCCGCGTCTGGAAGGGCCGGAGGTAAAAGCACACATCGAGATAATCACCGATCGGGAAGTTTATTTATTTATTTATTTATTTATTTATTTTTTGGCCTGTCCCGTTTGGCTCTTTTGCATCAGAATTGTTGTCTAAAGGCAAAGAAAGATGCCCAACGGATTTACTTTACCAAATTGACCATCCCAGCCTTGCCGTAATGGTCCATTTGATTCACCTTTTATTGTTTATTTTATTTTCACTTACTGAATACGGGACAGACTTGACTGGGGGAAAGAAAGAGGGAAAGAGAAACAGCTGAGAAGAGGGACGGGGGAGAAGGGCAAAAACCAACAGAACGGGCAGAGAAAAAAAAAATGCATATATCAATCACCTGGATCACCTGCTGAGAAAGAAAAAAGAAAGCAATCAGAATCAATCAGAATCAGAATACTTTATTGATCCCTGGGGGAAATTATTTTTTGTTACAGTGCTCCATTTTAAACCAACATTAAGACAAGACAGACAATACGCTAACTAAGAATAGTACAATATATACATATATATACATACATACATAAGTCACTTATAAATAAATATTGGGAAAAGAAACATGTGTAGTTGTAGCAGCAAACAGTGTGTTAAGTGGATGCGTTGTACAGGGAGCCACAGGCAGGAATGATTTCCTGTGTCGTTCAGTGGTGCATCATGGGTAATCTCAGTCTCTCACTGAACGAGCTCCTGTGACTGACCAGCATGTCATGGAGTGGGTGGGAGGTGTTATCCAACGTTGTCTTTATCTTGGACAGCATCCGCCTCTCCGACACCACCTTGAGGGAGTCCAGCTCCATCCCCACAACATTGCTGGCCTTACGGATCAGTTTATTAAGTCTGTTGGCATCTGCGACCCTCAGCCTGCTCCCCCAGCATGCAACAGCATAGAGGATCGCACTGGCCACAACAGTCTCATAGAAAATCCTCAGCATTTTCTGGCAGATGTTGAAGGACCTCAGTCGCCTCAAAAAATAGAGACGACTCTGGCCCTTCCTGTAAAGTGCTGTGGTGTTTTTAGCCCAGTCCAGTTTATTGTCAATGTGAACTCCAAGGTATTTATAGTCCTCCACAATGTCAACACTGACCCCCTGGATTGAAACAGGGGTCAAGTGTTTCCTGGTCTTCCTGAAGTCCACGATCAGTTCCTTGGTCTTTGCCACGTTGAGCTGCAGATGATTCTGCTCACACCACGTGACAAAGGAGTCGACCACAGCCCGGTACTCTGTCTCATCATCCCTGCTGATGCATCCAACCACCGCAGAGTCATCAGGAAACTTCTGAAGATGGAGGTCTCTGTGCAGTGGCTGAAGTCTGTGGTGTAGAGGGTGAAGAGGAAGGGGGAGAGGACAGTCCCCTGTGGTGCCCCTGTGTTGCTAATCACCTTGTCAGACACACACTGTGGGAGACGTACATATTGTGGTCTTCCTGTCAGGTAATCAACAATCCAGGACACCAGAGAAGCATCCACCTGCATCGCTGCTAACTTATCACCCAGGAGGGTCGGCCTGATGGTGTTGAAAGCACTGGAAAAGTCAAAAAACATGACCCTCACAGTGCTCGCCGGCTGGTCCAGATGGGTGTAGACACGATTGAGCAGGTAGATGATGGCGTCCTCTGTTCCGAGACGAGGCTGATAAGCGAACTGAAGGGGATCCAGATGTGGTCTTACTATGGGTTGCAGCTGGTCCAGGATGAGCCTTTCCAGGGTCTTCATGATGTGGGAGGTCAGTGCCACGGGCCTGTAATCCTGGGGGCCACTGGGACGAGGCGTCTTTGGTACAGGGACGAGGCATGATGTCTTCCACATCACCGGGACCCTCTGCAGACTCAGCATAAACAGTTTATGAAAGACTCCACACAGCTGGGGGGCACAGGTCTTGAGGACAAGGGGACTCACTCCGTCTGGTCCAGCAGACTTGCCTGAGTGAAGTCTCCCCCGCTGACCCCAGTAGGCACCCCCATACTCCGCGACCCGCCAGGGAAAGGGGGCCCAGGCCCATCCAGACCGGGCCCAGTGCAGCAGCGCCGCCCGGCCCCACAGAGCCCGGGACAGTCCACCCAACCCCACCACAGAGAAAACTGCACCCACCCCACCATCCACTCATCTTCCAGACTACATAAGACAATAAACACCCAGGCTGAGATCTTCCTCCACCTCTCCTGTATCTCCCCCTCCTGCAGAGGGAGCTCCTGAGGAGAGGAAAGCTCCTGCAAGATGTGACAATCTCCCCCACCAGTTGAAGAGCCCCCCAGGTGGCTCGACGCACCGGCGGCACCCTGCTCCAGGGCTGGGCCCCCATGCACCCACCCGCCCACAACCCCGGCAACACACCAACCAGGACCCAAGCCCCGAGGCCCGGTCCGGGTCCCAGCCCAGAGACGGAGTGCCCCCAGAACCTCACGCCCATCCCGGACCCACCCAGGGGCAGACAGGCTACCAGGTCAGTAACCCACGTCCGTCAGCACAGACCCTCCCCTAGTCCCGCTGCACGCAGCCGCGAGGAAACAGTCACCGGAGAGCCAACAGAGCCCCTAACCGGACATGACCGCTACCCCGGGTTGAGCCCCCCAAGGAAGATGCCTCCGGGGAACCCCCCGACGCCCTAAGCCTGTCCCTACCCCCACACCAATCACAACAGTGAAGGCGGGACCAAACTATGACCCCCCACCCCCACTAGGTGATGGAGCTGATCAAAGGAGCCCAGAGCAATTGATCTGATGTGGTGGCAGAGGCTGTATCAAGACTAATGTAATCTAATAGATAATTTCTATATTGGTTAGAATTAAGATTATTTTTATTTTTCCAGTTCATGAGGACTGTTTTCTTGGCTATGCATAGGGCAGTGAAAACCATATGGGAACCGATCGGGAAGTTAAAAAGAAAGTGGACGTGTTTTCAGTGTCAAATCTACCAGGTCCAGAGTAATATGTTCAGATGTTCACTTCCCTGCTGCTCTTATTTCAGGATGTTTGGCTCATAACTCAAACTCTGCGTGCCCTTAAAGACGCTTTGTTTTCCTGCAGGAAAGGTGAGAACGTTCGGGAGATGCTGAACGACAAGCGGCACATAGCGGAGCAGAAAGCTCGTTATCACACGTACGAGACAGTGGTGGACGAGGTCATCGTCGAACCCGGAGAATCCGCGACGGCCTACGAGCTGGACGACTATGACGACGAGTACGACGACACCTACGACATGAACCAAGTGGGCGCCAACGACCTAGACGGAGATTCTTTACTGACCAGAAGGTATCTTTGGTGTCGCTGATTATGATGGAGTGGAGACGCAGCGAGCCGGAATTAATTTCTGTTCCTCTGCAGGCCGTTCACGGTACCGCAGGTACTGAGAAAAGAAAACAAGGAAGAAGACGAGGAGGACGATCAAGACGATCAAGAGGAAGATGCTTCAAAGGTACGGAGATCATTTGATTGGATTTGAACTCTTTAATGCTGTGCGATGATGGAGTTTAGAAAATGTTGATGTTAATCTGTTACCTCACAGCTGCCTTGTTATTACGCGGAAGTCACACTTTCCATATATGATTTAACTTGCCGAAGTTTCAGCATTTAAATGGTTTGGTTATTTATGATTTGCCCTCAGCCCCCGTGATCGGCTTTGCACCACCACATTTCTAGAATCCTGGACAGTCCGTGTCTTATTGTTTGTCACTTCCTTTTATTTCAGAGCGCTGTAAACAGGGACCAGTTCGTGCAGGACCCGGCTGTGCTGAGGGAGCGAGCCGAGGCTCGAAGAGCAGCCATGCAGCAGAGGAAAGGGTAAAGACGATGCTCAGTTTGCGCAGGTTCACTCTGCTCAGCTGTTTCCGTCCAACATGTTCTTGAAAATATGTGCCGTCTTCCCTCCTGCAGCTTCCGGCCAGAGCGTTCCAGCAACGTGGCTGGCCGACCCAAAGGACAAGGACAAACCACTGAGACGTTACAGGACCGGCGAAAGAAGGAGACCAACAAGAGCCGTGTAGCCAACCACAACCGGCGCAGCATGGCCGACCGCAAGAGGAACAAAGGCATGATCCCCTCCTGACCTGTGGCTCAACCGCAATGGACTGATGGGAGAAGGGGAGGATGAAGGATCTGGGCTCTGGTGTGGTTCTGGTTTGACTGTGGTTCAGGTTCCAGTCACTGTGAAGGCCGTCACAGATTTCGTTAGTTTTCAGAATGGTTTCGGTAAAACTGCATTTTGGCTTTTTCTTTTATTAAAAGTTGCCAACAAGCTTTACTGAAATAGTTGAGAGATCTGTGTCGTGTTTGAGCCCAAAGGATTTTATTCTATAGTTCAATAAACATCAAGTGTGAGCGAAGGACTGACGATAAAGAATAACATGTAACAAATCATTTTATTATTAAGATCCAGGGTGATCTAACAAAGTTTCTTTGACATCATCATCGACAAACAGACTACATAGGAATAAAAGGAGGAGACGTTCGGGAGTTCCTTCTGTAGCTGGAAGAACAATTACTGACCTGGAGATCAAGTCTGGAATTCAGCGGCCGACTCGTCCTGTTCGAGCATGTGTGAAAGCTGCTGCACGCGTGTATCATCATCTACTCCGCTCACACCACTGCTGTCCAGACTTCACCATAACTCATAACGATGCTGTCGTTTGTGTTTGGAAGCACTTTCTGCAAGGATGGTCCTCGTGGAGAACTTCCTACACACTGCCATGCACACGCTATTTTCTATTCAGCGATGAGCTTTTTGTAACAATTTCAGCACAAAGTTATGCTTTTTGGAGTTGGCATTGCAAAAAAACATCACAAAATAAATACAATAAAACTATATGTTTAACATACTTTGAGTTTGTGGTTATTGGCAAAGTTTGGAAATAATTCGATTAAATTCCCGTTTTGCAGTAGGAACACACTTCAGAGTAAAAACGGTGATAATTATCTTCAGCTTTGGTAAGTACACGGCTTCTTTTCTGTGTTTCAGCACTGCAGAGAGATCACAGTTTGGATATGTCGTCTTCCAAAGAGCTGTTTGACATTTTTACTTAAAATCAGGTGAGAATGTTGTTACTGTGTTAGTAAATTGTACGAACCTACTGCCATTTACATCAAACACAGGAACAAAAAAAACCAAAACTCAACTATGTCCAAACATGATTAAATCTGCCTGTCAGCACCTCTGCACTTCATTAACTCAATAGTCTTGGCTTGTAATCGAAAATGTAAAAATGGTTGTGCAGTGGATTTAGTTCAGTTTAATTTCCATATCTAAGTATATATACATTATTGTTAGGTAAACCTCTGGGAGAGAAAACTAAAAAGACAAAGACAAAAAACAGATGACCCTCTTATGAGCAGAACTTGGCAACAGTGGAAAGGAAGAACTCCCTTTTGACAGGAAGAGCTCGCTTCATCTGGACTTTCCCTCCAACCTTAAATTGGATAAACTGTTCTGAAAAAGAGATGGACCGACAACCCCACCCTTGAAGGCGTTACATGTAATGTTCAGTCAATTCTAACCAGTTAACCCTGACCTGTCCCAAAGCCTCTGGCCCTGATTGGTTTCTGTGATTTCAGGATTGGACAGGAAGTGATGTCGGTCCTCCGTTTCATTCGTTTTCCTGTGGACAGACTCCAACACCAGCTTTTGGACTACAGCTGTTAACAGACTGTCCTGATGCCTCAGTTAACCTGGTGTGTCAACATGTGAGCGACTTCCCCACCCGTTGCAGATTCTGGGTGGAGCACAGACTGTATACAAAAGTCCTGTTGCATAAACTGCTGTTTGCCCACTACCTGACGTTTTATTCAATAAGACTTGAAAGTGACAACAGGGTTTATGAAAGCTAACAAAGAAAGAGAGCTGAAGGTAATTTTAAGTAGATTTTTATGCAACCAGAACTCTTTCTGGAGCCACAGAGGAGAGAGAGATTTAAGGCCCGTCCACAGGCTACATCCAAATTAGCAGCCCTGCAGCTCATTGGTAAGGAAAGAGGATGGGCCATAAGCTAACGAGGTTCTGGTATTCTGATTCTTTAGGATGGAGCCAGACTTGCTGTCATTTCAGTCTGGCTTCATTTTTTTTTCTTTTCTTTAAATCTTAGAAACACGAGTGGAATTCTTCTCATCAAACTGCAGAATTCAAATTTCCCAAAGATAATTCATTTAAATGGAAAATAAGAGCTGAAAAGACACTGCAGCAGATCTATGATTTGTAAAGTAAAACTGTAGCAGCTGTGAGAGCACTCGTTACACAGAGCTTCATAAAAAGGGACAATATCCTTCTATGCTGCCAACACAATCCTACCTGTTCAGCATCACTGATTGTGCAGGTGAAACTAAACTGGCTGCTGATGTATGCTAAGCATGATTAATTGCAGGAAAAATAAATAAAATGGTAAAGGAGGAGTTTAAGGATGTGTTTTTTTCCCTACATGATACCAGCTGGTACACACTGACTCCTGCACTACGACTACAGAAGCTCCACAACTACCACTGAACTGCAAAGTACCAAAGACGACCATTTTTTAAACTTTCAGTCCTCCCTGGTTGTTGGTTACTGACATCATTTTGACCTAAAGTGAACCAGGTGATCAGTACATCCACACTAAAAACATAAAAGCATTGAACGCCTTTGCACCAGCAGCTGACTCAGATACTGAGGTTGTCAGTTTTTACACATACTGATCCCAGAAACAGTTGCATTTGCTGCTGTTTACACACCGAGTTGTACAGTAACGAGATCTCAAGAAGAAGTTCTGTTCACAGATAACACGACCAGTGGGGAACTTCGTAGTACTGCTTTAAACTACCACTGTATGTTGTAGAGGTTAAAATCTGATGGCCGGTCAGCAGCGACGACAAGTTTATGCTCCCAAATCCACAGCTGGAAGGAGGAAGTGTTGAGGTCGCTTTAACCAAAAACAAAAAATAAGTGTCACTGAGGTCGGGATGTGAACCGACTCCCCGAGATGAAACGACTGTTAGCTGTCTTTGCAGATGCTGCCTGGAGAGGAAAAGATTCAGACACACATTTCAGTCCCGGTCGTGAAAACGATTAGACTGACAAAGACTTGAGACTTTAAAAGATCAGCCTTCTTCCACTGCAGACTAAAGTGTTTTACTACAAGTAATTTTAAGCCTTTACAAGAGGATGACAGAGGCGTGTACGAGTGTGTAAACTCACTGAGGATGCTGCGCTTGCACAGAGGACAGGTGTGCTGCAGCAGCAGCCAGGGGTCGACACAGTCTCTGTGATACTCGTGAAGACACGGCAGCACCCGCAGACACTGAGACGACATTTTATAGATGCATCATTTATTTAAATCACAAAGTTAGCCAAAAAGCAGAGCGTGTTTGACTATTTACTCTCATCATTCACAGTCACTCCCTTCTTACTGAATTAAACAGAGTTAGAGTGTGTGTGAGTGTGTGTGTGGGGGGGGGGGGGGGGGGGGGGGTGTCGGCTGACCTGGTTGTTGTTAAAAGGCTCCAAACAGACGGCACAGGTTTCCGCCTCTGCCAGCTGCGACGGGTCACACCAGGGTTTGGGCTGACGGTATCGTTTGGTCTTCAGGGATGACATCCTCTTCAGAACGTCCTGTTTGGGAAGGAGCTGAAAAACACAGTTCAATTCAATTCAGTTGTATTTATATAGCGCCAAATCACAACAAAAGTCACCTCAAGGCGCTTCATGATACAGAGAAAACCCAACAATCATATGACCCCCTATGAGCAAGCACTTTGGCGACAGAGGGGAGGAAGAACTCCCTTTTAACAGGAAGAAACCTCCGGCAGAACCAGGCTCAGGGAGGGGCGGGGCCATCTGCTGCGACCGGTTGGGGTGAGAGAAGTAGCCAGCAGAACATCTCATGTACCGCTGATTTTTATTTCTGTGTGGGTGTAATTGTAGAGACGTTAGCTCATAGTATTAGATGACTTGAGGTGAATGTTGTTGTGATTTTAGTGTTATATAAATAAAATTTAATTGAAACTGCACGACAGAGGCCTGACTTAAAGTTCTCCTCACAGACAGCTTTTGTTTTGTGTAGGCTGCTTTGTTGTGCTCTTTGCCTCGAGCCTCTGTACTGCGGAAGTTTACACATTTGCTTAATGAACGCAAGGTCGCCGATTCACTCCCAGCCACACACAGCCACAGGTTACATCAGGAAGGCATCCAGCATTTAAAAATATCTGCTCTCAACTGTTGCTGAGAGCAGATACCTCAGGAACAGTTGCTGCTGTTTGAATCTTTTATTTGAAAGGAGCAGCCAATCAGAAAAACTTGGCTTAAAAAGGGGGGGGGGGGACCCGAGGGGCTGTGCCAAAGCAAATTTTAAATAAAAAACATAATTGTCTACCTCTAAGTCGTCGTTCAGCTGGCGGCCTTGGTACTGCCAGCGAGCCTGAACGATGACTCCTGTGCTGAGGATCAGAGCCACCAGGAGGACGGTGTCCCACAGCTGCTGCAGGTACTTCTGTGAAGCAGCAACAACACGGATTCCTCTACATCACAAACAAGAAAAGTCTTCCAGATAAATTAGCTTATATTTCTAATTCTGTACCGTTCCATCTAATCGGGTTATCTTGACAAGTAGGAAGTCAGAGGTTTAGGCTCTAACACGAGTTACTCACTCGGCTCCTATGCAGCAGCTTAAAAGCAGACGTGTGTTTGACTGTGTCGTGTTTGCCCACCTGGACCTGAGAGTTGGTCTCGCCGGTGCAGATGACCCCCTGCCACTCCCCGTAGCGACCTCCTCTCGACCGCCCGCAGCTGGACCACAGCGTGAGCGTGGCTCCCTGCCCGAACACACAGCAGCAATGCGCTCACTGTCAGCTCAGCCTGTCATCTGTTCACTCACCACTGGAGGGTGCTAACAACTGAGATGGGTGTGGATCTCACCAGGTTGTCCTGCAGGATCGTCCTGTATGTGATTTTTGCCGTCGCCTGAAGGCCCCTGTGAAGAGGTCGGTGCAGATTTAGGTGCCGATAAAAATCATCTGCCACCTTCCAGTCCTCCTGCTTTGTTTGCATTTTTCTCCATTAGTGTTTCCAACAACCAACAAGCGCAGACTGTATATCAATGATGGCTAAGAACATCTGCATCCTCTCTCACGGGCAGCAGAGGGTGACATTTGTGACATCTACTGGACTCAATCACTACTTGTAAGTTTTTTTCATACAACACAGTGCTTGTATTGTGAAATACGGACACACTGATGCTGCCATTTTCAAATCCACATAAGACACATTTGACATGAAAGCCTATCGATAAATTGTAAACATCTCGCCTTGATGTGATTCTCCTGTCTCAGTGAGGCTGTTGAAATTGAGTCTGGCAGAACCTGAGTTTACTGCATGCATGCTTGAAATACCCTTGAAACCCATTTTTAAGGTAAGTTAACCTCCCACTGTTACTTTTTGAAGTTGTTCTGTGAAACTATGCAGGGCGCATTCAAATTAATGCACAGTTTCCATCAGCGTTCCGTCCCTCTGGATTGCAAACACATGTGCCATTATATGCAACTCACACTCATGGACGCATGTATGCAGCTGCATCTCTGATAATCAGGCACTGACCTGAGCAGTGCTCCGATCAGCTTGGTCACATTTTCTGATGTCTGGATCACAATGATGGGCTTGGACAGCACCTGGGATAAATCCATCTACAAACAGGAAAAACAGGGTTAAGAATTCAGCAGACTGAAATGTAAACACAGTCAGAGCTGTGCAGTTGAAAAAGACTTATTTAATGATATCTGCATGTTTCCATGCATAATGGTGGCTCTTCAATTAAGTTAGATACAACATAAAATACTATAATAGTCTCATATGAGAAAATAGAAATAGAGGTTGCGGCAACATCAAAAGCGGATTTACACAGTAAACCTAAAACAGCCACCAGCATTATTACTGTCAATGATCTGATAAGAAGCATGCACAGAGTGCAACAACGGCACATTTGGCTGGGCTGTTATGAAAGAAAGGTTCAAAAAACAAAAACCCTTTTCATCATGCTGTGTACTGCATGTCCTCTCACTGGCTTAATAAACATTAGATTCGGCCTCTCTTGCAGACAAAGAGTTAGCTGAGGTGCTTTGTGATTTACTAAATTATGAAGCGTACTTCCTAAACGATCAACACAAAAAGGTAAATGACACACAGGTTCATGAATGTCAGGAAATTTTGAAGAAAACAAATGTATGTTTCTCAGGTTTTCAGGGTCAGAGTTCATGTTTCAGGTCCAAACAATTCTCTTCCTCCTCATCGCCTGAAGAATCCCAGCAGAGCCTGCTCTTGAAGAGGTCTCCTCCTGTAAAAGGGAGTTCTTCCTTCCCACTGTTACCAAAGGGTGTTCACAAGGGGTCATCTGACTGTTGGCGGTTTTCTCTCTTATACTGCGATCAGTACAGTTACATCTGAGATCATAAAATAAAGCAGCAGTTTGGCTATGATAAAACTATTAATGATGAAGTTGTATCAAACGTGCCTCCCCGCTTAGATGTCTGCTGGGAGGGAGTAAGATGTGAGGACAGGGAAACGAGAAAGGCAGCTGGGTTACACTCATGGGAACTGTAGGTGCTGCTCTCAGATGATCCTCTCAGTTTCACTCTTCTTGAGGGATTCATGAAGAAATCCAAAAAAGCTTCTGCAAAGACATCCTTTTATGTTGTTGTCATCTCTGTCGCTTGGGGACTTCACTGGACCTAAACCTCAGATCTGTTTCTAATAGAATGTGAACATTTGAACTGTTGTTATATATGCAGCCATTTTTATGCCTTGTCCTGACACAGACTGGCATGAGGATGTTCACACTCCAGCGGCACTTGCAGTATAACCTGCAACTTTACTTTCAGCCTGTAACTTGCATCGGGGTCATGTACATGGACTGGCACATGTAAAAATAAGTCAAATAAGGAAAACGTCTGAGGAAGTTGCCGTACAGTTATGATGGAAAAGATGGAGAAACAAGATCCGTATCAACTGCAGACACATCCTTCTTTCTGAATTTTTACCTCACTGACGGTGTTTTGGTTGAGAGCCAGAATAATCAGCGCCGACGCTCCGAGGACCAACGCTCGCTTCATCTTGAACAGAGAGAAATCGATGTTACCTTTCAGGTTTAACTAAAATACTTCTAAAATACTGAAAACAGACTGATCACAGAACTAAAGCAGAAAGGCAATGTGGAACATGTGAAAACTAAGCAGTTGACTGAACTGTACAAATACCACTCACTTTATTTACCACAGCATCAGCGAAGGACTCCTGGTTCCCAGTCGAGGCTTTGCTTTCGTCTATCTCCACGGGCACAACCCCGATCCACGGCTCCTGCTTCTTGATGTCAGCCTCGTCTTCTCCTTCGTCCACTGGTGTCACCTCATCTCTAACCTAAAGACAAAGGACAGGGAAACAGGCTGAACATCTGCCCTGCACCAGGGTGGAAGTTCTGACGGGTGATTGTTGATCTGTTTTTAATATTAGTACATCTTCTTTTATCTCTTTTACCTGAAAGGTGTGATTGGTCCACATACAAAAAAAGGCAACACGTTAAAGTTAAATTTTTCTATCTAAAATCTTATTTTAAGCCAAAAAAAAATAAAACGTAGTTAACAAAACAAATTGTTATTTTGGGCTCGTGTCACCCGCATGTACCACTCTATTAAAGGACCAGGACAAGAGCCGAGCAGCTTTGACCCCCCCAGGCCCACTCACCAGGACCAGGTCTGCCTCCAACTCTTCTCGCTCCTCGTCCCGCTGCTCGGAGCTCCCACCGCCCAGGCTGGACTCAACCACCTCCCCCTGGAGCAGGTCGCTCGCATCTGGCCGCTGTTCCAAGAAAACCTCTACCAGAGCAACCTGCTCCGCCACCGCCAGCAGCCCCGGCCACCGCAGCAGCAGCAGTAGCAGGAGCGGTAACGACACCCCGAGGCAGCACCAGCGAGGGGAAGCCATGACCCCCAAAACAACACAGAGGAAATAGAGCAGAAAACTGCAATAAATCCACGGTTTTAATCAACTGTCAGACATTGTTTTGGAAAAGCCGTAGCGCTTCCCTTCGCCAGTTAGCTCGCAGAGCCCCGGAGAATGTAAACAAGAAAAACAGCTTCCGGTCGAACCCGGAAGCTGCAGGATAATTATTCTCTTGCATAGGAAAAACGCAAAAAAGGCCCTTTAGACAGCATCGACAGAAATTAAATCACATGCTAATGCTGTTGATTAGCTATCGATGTATCACACTGGTTATGAACTGCCAACTTTAGCATATGACTGTTTCTCACGCTAGCGTACAGTCGCTGAGCTTTTAATTTAAACAGAGACGAATAAAAACACCGAGAGAAGTACTCTCCCACACTTCCTTTTTCGCTTTAAAGCTAGGACTCAACCCTACAGCTAAAGTTCCGTATAAAACATTTTCAAAACGGCCTGGTGTTTATACTAAGATGGTGAATAACTAAATTCCCTTTATCAAAGTCTAATATTTTTCAGAAAGCACTGGAGATAAAAATCAGGATCTTTTAACAAGTTCATTTTCTCACTTGCCCGGTACGATATAGGATAGCACACTCACACATTATTAGTTTTAATGATAAATTAAAACGAATAATACGCAGTTAAACATAACTTTATAAAAGTGGCATAATACGCAATAACTTAATTTAATTAACGATGTGAAAACGCTTATTGTATGTGCGCATGTGCAAGATTTGTTGTTAATTTATTTTCTTTTCCTTTCTGTCCCGACAATGTCTTACCCAAAAGGGAAAAAACACCTATTATTAAACGTTAAAGAGCTTAAAATTCTCAGTGTAAGGCCTCGTAGATTAAATTACTTTACTCTTTATTTTCAGCTGATTAGCTCGACAATTTAATGGCGAAAGATACATTGAATAATTCTGTATTTAATAACATGATTTTAATAGTGAGTGAACCTATGAACAGAGAAGGCGGGGCTTCTGCTCTCCGTGGCCCCTCCCTCTGCTGCAGAATGACGCTCCTGTCATTTTCCCCTTTTTCTTTGGCTGAGTTAGCCAGCTGGGCTGGATCTTTAAGCATAGGGTAAAAACGGGCGGTGTGAGAGCCGTGTTTACATTTTTCCCCCCTCTCATACGTTTTGCACCACCGGGCAGTGTCACCGGAGGATAGCAGGACGCTGAGGCCGTGGATGAGCATCACGTGGAGGCGTCAAAGACGGAACTTTGAAGGAGCTCTGCTGTCTTTATCCACAGGTCGGAGGCATGAGCGGGAGAGTGGGAGACCTGAGTCCTAAACAGGCTGAGGCGCTGGAGCAGGTCAGTTTCATAATAATAAGAGTTTGATAACGCGACTGAATGGGGTGATGCCTTCACTCTGGCCTTATCTGTCTTCATCTGCTTCGCTGTTTTCACAGTGTGTGGTTTCCGTCACAGTGTGAAACGCTCTAATAATGTGTGTAGAGGCTCACAGTGAGCTGTCACAGCATGCGCACAGACGCTGTCCTGCATTTATTTCCTTTCTAGCCCATATATCACAGTGGAGTCTCCTCTGTCTAATTAACCGAAAATATTAGGGTTTATACGCAGCACTAATGTTTTCTGTTAATGTTAGCCATATACTGATGTGTTATTGATCAGCAAAGAGACTATGGAGGAAGGTTAAATTTGCTAAACTAGATTAAATTTAAATATCACCCAAGTTTGACACTGTGGTGTCTTTATTTCCTGTGAGTCTGTCAGTAAGCCACACTTTATGAAGGGCTTATAAGGATTTTTTAAATTATTGTCAATTTGAACCCGTTTCTCTCTCCACTCTGAAGCGTCTAATTGATAAATTGAACAATACTAACTGTGTACATGATGCTCTCCCATCCCGTATTGTTAAGGATTGTTTCAGTGTAATTGGACCTTGTTTATTGTCCATATTGAACTTCTCCTTGCTTCTGGCTATGTACCTTCAGCTCTCAAGCATGCCATAATCCAACCTGTTCTAAAAAAAAGGAACCTTGAGCTTAGTGATTTTGCCAATTTTAGGCCAATTTCTAAGCTTCCCTTTCTGGCTAAAATACTTGAGAAGGTGGTTCTGCTCCAACTGCAGACCTACCTTGATGAGAATAATATAAATGATAAATTTCAATCGGCCTTCAAACAACATCACAGCACAGAATCAACATTGCTTCGTGTTTTCAATGATCTCCTACGAATGGCTGACAACGGACGCCCCTCAGTCTTAGTGCTTTTGGATCTATCATCGGCATTTGACATGGTTGACCATAATATCTTATTAGCGAGACTTGAGCACACTGTAGGCATCAAGGGCGCTGCCCTGGATTGGTTTAAATCCTATCTCTCCAATCGGCTCTCTACGGTACATCTGGCTACATCCTCTTCCTCGGCTGTACCTGTTTGCTGTGGTGTCCCCCAGGGATCTGTGCTGGGCCCTACCCTTTTCTCATTGGGTGGATGCCGTAGGCATCCACACTATTGAGATCCTGTTTCTCTTTATTCTTTATCCTTTATTATTAAGTGTGCCTATGCGAAGGCACACTTATTACTATTGCTCGGATTTATTATTATTATTATTCTTTTTCCGCCTGAAATTTTGGACCTTAACTCGCCCCACAGTTTTGAGACAAGGTTCACATATGATATATCATTGTGTGCGGCTGGAGCTGGAATGAGTTGCTATGACTTTTGGTGTTTATTACTTCTATAGTTTTTTAAATATGAATATTTTAATGCAAGTTTTTGCCCATTCAAATGAATGGGAACGAACGAAAATGAAACTTTACTTACTTTGTGGTGTGTTTGCTCACTCACTTAATTTGTGGTGTGTTGGCTCACTCTAGTGGTATGTCCCCGTATTTGGATTACCATAATGACAACAATACGAACGGCGCGCACAGCGTTGGTGCTTTCAGGAACCATTGGAATTCTTAAGGTTGCACGAAGCATTGAATAGTTACGGTAACGGCAATGGTGTACGCTTGGTGGAAAACTGCATATCCCACAATTCAAAGCACGCCTCTACCAGTCAAACAATGGCGGCTGCCACTTGGTTTAATATATTCCTCTTATTTGTGTTTCTAGGTCACAAAGTAAACTTTTAAGATATTTTCAGGTGAGAATGTAGGTGTGTAAACGTCAAATATCTGCTCGTTTTGTCAAAACATCCCATATTAGCAACAGATTTCTCACGATGTTGCTGCTAGCCGGCTAGCTAGTTCGGCCGGCTAGCTAGCTCGGCTAGCTAGCGCCGCTTCGCTCAAAAGCACCCAGGCTTGGCTTTCAGTGAGGCGTCTCTAACTCCTTTCACCCCCGATCGCTCCGCAAACAGTCTTTGTCTTAGCTGGACTTATTTTTCATTTATATGGGCCGATGATGCTGGTTGATGTGGAAAAAAATAACTGAGTTGTTCATATACCGGTGGCTAGCTAGCTCCACGTTAGCCACCGGTATATGTCTCTTCCCCTCGTATGCGGGGAAAGAAACACCGATCGACCGGTGGTGGCTAACGCGGAGCTCAATCGTGGATAAGGGGAACCCAATGCAGGAGAAGCAGGCGGCTGGTGAACTGAATTTCAGGTAAGACGTTATTAACTGCACTCTATTTGGGTCAGATATAAACCGAGTTTAGGTGTAGTTTATTTTCGTTGTGCTGACAGTTACAATAACTGTACTGCGTGCTAGCTAGCACGACGGAGTTTCTATACAGCTGTGCGCGCTAAGTTACTGATGTTGAACTTTATGACAGCCTCCCCTATTTTCAGGCGAGAATGTAGGGGTGTAAACTTCAAATATCTGCTCGTTTTATCAAGAAGTCCCATATTTTATCAAGAAGTCCCATATCTCTCACGATGTTACTGCTAGCGCCGCATGGCAGCTAGCTGGCTAGGGCGGCTTGGCTGACACCTAGGCCGGGCTGACTGATACCCAGGCCGGCTCACGCTCACGTTTCACCGCCGCATGGCAGCTAGCCGGCTAGCTGGCTAGCGCGGCTTGGCTGCCACCCAGGTCGGGCTGGCTGACACCCAGGCTGGGCTGGCTGACACCCAGGCCCGCTCACGCTGTCGTGTTATTTTTCATTTATATGGGCTGGTGATTCAGTATGAGTGTCCGGTGAACTGAATGTCAGGTAAGACGTTATGTATATGTAAGGTAGTGACTGGAATAAGTCACAAGGTGTCGCTGTTGAGCTGCATATATGTTGTAAATTTAGCAATTTTGACCATTTGTCCTCTGCAGGACACCGTAGTTCAGATTTCTCGTTCGCGTGGGCGCCATCTTGGTTCAGTGTTTACTGTGATGTGCAAAGGTAAGCACTGTCAGTGGCGAACTGCATTGGTTTTGTTTAAAAATAAGTGTTCCACTGTGTAAAATAGCGGTTTGTCATTTAAGCCGAGCAAATATTTTGTTTATTGAGAGGTTCATGTATTGTCTGATGAGAGTATGAGACAAAGATATACTTTTCTTTCTTACTCTCATATAAAATATTTAGCTTTTATTAAATAGTTATCTGAATCTTACAACCAAAGTTTGTATAATAATACACAAGATTGGCTGTAGACCATTGTTAATCATTCAGAACACTGTGTAAAAATAACAAAAAACAAAAAGTGAATGAAAAGTGCATAAATATTTATTTTACGTGTTTGATGTGTGTGGCAGGGCGTGGTCTGCAGTGCCGCTGCAGGGGAGGTGGACCCACCTCAGCGGCATCTGCAATCACGCCTCTCAGGTGTAAAGTCTGTGCTCTCTCTGCTTTTTTTTTTTTTTTTTTTTTTTTGTGTGTATGTGTTGGGCTATGAGATGAAAAGCTACAGCCGGCTGTGTGGGTACAGCAACTATGTGTGAAAAGTGGTCCATAACGTAATGCTTCAAAGTGTGTTCATGCAAACATTGTCGGGTCTGCTTATGAACCTCTGCGCACAGCGTCTACAAATTGGGGCTGTACGAAGTCACCTCATCTTTACACAAAACCATAAGCTGTCATCTGTGAGGCGCGAGCGGTGTTTGGTTTTACCATAGTTCATGGTGGAGAATGGCTGCTCTGCTGAGTTTTGCTCTCTGTAGCCGTTTGAATGGCAAACTATACTGATTAGCGGCGGCATAGGCACACTTAAAATTTCTTCAGAAATTTTCGCTTTCTAGTTCTAGTTGCTCCGTTTCTTTGCCGCTTAACTACTCCCTCAGTTTTCAGCCGATTTTTACCATTCAAACTCTAAACTGTTCTGCTATTTCTGCTTTCGACTGCTATATCTTTTGGTACTTATTACTATTATACTTTTTAAAATATTACACTTTTTTCCTTTAATTTGTCCCATTGAAATGAATGGGAAACTTCTACAATTCTGCTAAAACTTGCTTGTCTTTGAAACTTAACTACTTCCTCATACTTTCACCTAGAAACTCCATTCAAACTTTAAAACGTTCTCAGATGATTGGGCTATTCCTGTGTGATTCAGCTTTTTCATATCTGTTACCGTTTTCATGTAATGACTCTTTAAGTTTTCAGTTACAACTTTGTGATTTTTCAGAAAATACATGTGTTGCTATGGTTGCTATGCAATTAACTCCCACTGCACACTCGTCCGTTCTGAATTTTCTCTTCATGTCTGAACAACTCCTTGCTACTCGCTCAATTTCCACTCAACTTCCACAAATTATACATCAAAACGTAGGTATTTTTGCTGGCTTTAAGACAGTGTCACTATAATTATTGTGAGAGTTACGTTTTTTTCACAATTTGCCTCGAAGTGACACATGGTCTAAAAACTCCCCATTCAAAGTCTATGGGGAGGTTGTGAAACTCAGAGCTGAAATACTGAAACTGAAGGCATTTTCAAATCGTCATATCTCCTTAACGAAGCAAAGTTAAGACATGAGGCTTGTCCCTGTATATCTTCAGACACTCCTGACACTCACAATTCAAGAATTATTTTCTCACCTATTACCGTTCTGAGATGAGTTAGACTTGTTTGAGGGGTGGAAATCTGTCCTCCTCTCATTTTTCAAATTCCGAAAATGAAGCCGTTTCTTCTCTCGTCATATCTCCGCGACGGAGATACAAAGAGCTATGTAAATCGCAGTCAAAGTACACCAAAGTCCGCTGATTCACCCAGTGCAAGAATTATGCTTCTATCCCACCTAGTTTTTGAGTTACACGACGTTTTGTAACTCCAAAAAACGGCGTTTTTCGCGTCTCACCGCGATCTAATTCTGACTCCTCATCACCCTTTTTTTCAAAGCGCCCGCCCCCTTAGAGGTGGCGCGATTGGTAATGACACCGCTCTTCAGACCAGAGGTCGTGGGTTCGA